GCCCTCATTCTGCATACGCCACTCAAGCTTTAGTCGGAGATTAAACTTCCCTTAACCTAGTCCTCAGACTGTTGGATTTTAATGAAAAAATACCGAGTTGAATATGAATTCGAATATATATTTTACGAGGACAGCTGTGTCCTGGATCATTCCATCTACCCTTGACCACAAATATAATTTTGGCATCAAGGTAAAGTCAAATCGGAGGCTCCTTCCCAATATTATAGCTGCACTGGATCCGCGGCATTGCCTTTTCAGAATGTCTCCGTGCGTTTGGGAATATTTAATTTTGCGGGTGATTTTTGTAAATGTAGCAACTGAGTTTGTGACACGTTCGCAATGACCTTCACGGGCAGCTACAGTTACGTTTCCTTATTCTAACTGCGAAAAATATTACTTATGGATTCTTAAATGACGTTCGGCTGAGTGTTGTCAAAATGACGGTGCCTTTATTATAACAGCCCCACAAAACTGGCGCTATGCAAACTAGCTTAGCACCTTGTGCCTCAGTGGCAAAGGCAGTTGGTGCTGCTAACCGCTGGACTATCCAGCCACAACAACAACGTACACTTCTAGATTTAAAGCTTTCGTGACCGCAAGGATCCATACTCTTTGGTTCTATTGGGTAAAGTCACGTAGGTAAAAAAATATTAAACAACAAAAATCACGACGTTTCGGCCACAACACAAGCGGCCTTCATCAGGTGAAGGGATCAGGCTGTCTCGAGGACAGCGCTGGAGTGAAACACAGCCACGCTCAGACCGCGAACCTTTAAGCTGTGTGCGAGCAAACGAGGTGCCTTGACAAAGGAATTAGCATAAAAATTAGCATTTGATTGGCCGACTTTAGAAAAGAGGTGGTGTATGTGCCGGTGGACTTGCCGTTTGGCGCGGGGGGGGGGGGGGGGGGGGAGTTTACCTATTGATGGTGTGAAAAGGGAATTTATAAGAGCTGCGAAAGTTTGGGGTACCACTACTTGAAAAATATACTGTACCATTGAAATTAGTTTAATGTTTAGTTCGATTTAGAACATCTTTCCAATGGTTGCTTAATTTGAAACCATCTCCTCGGTTGAAATTGTGTCTGTGTTTGTAGATCTGAATTGCCTCGTGAACAAATCTCTGATAGAAACCCGTATGGGTTTGCAAAGAACCTTGGTATCAGAGAAAATTATATCGTGATCACCCACAGCGTTGTAACAGTGATCAGCCACGGCAGAAGAATTCGTTTTGCCGTGTTTCAAATCTGATTTGTGCTCCCGAATTCGGTCAGAGACATGTCACTTTGTCTCCCCGATATAGCAATCACCGCAGGTACAACTCAATTTGTAAACCCCGGGGTACTGTAAGTCAGGAATGACATCCTTCACAGATGGGATCAGATCACGAATTTTGTGTACTGTATTGAACCGGACCTGGATTTTGTGTTTGTTTAGAATTTTGGAAATCTTTTTAGTAACGCCTGCTATATATGGTAGTGTGATGGTTTTGACCGGAGTATCAAGTGGTTGTTTCTGTATGGAGGGAGAAACAGCTTGGCGGATGGTACGGTCAGAGTATCCATTCCTTTTGAGGGCCAGGTGTACATGTTTATATTCACTGGTCAGGTGGTGTTGGTCCGAAATGCAATGAGCCCTATGGTATAAAGTTTTGGTGAGAGAATTATTTTGGGCTGGGTGGTGGTGGGAATCAGGTTTCAAGTAGGAATCTGTGTGGGTGGGTTTCCTGTAGACAGAATGCCCCAATGAGCCATCAGGTCTCCTCTCAAACAGAACATCTAAGAATGGTAGCTTGCCATCTTTCTCCACTTCCATGGTGAATTTGATGGCGGGATGTCTAGAATTGATGTGGTGTAGGAAAAAGTTCAGAGCTGGGAGGCCATGTGGCCAAATGACGAAAGTGTCATCCACATATCTCTTCCACAGGGAAGGTCTGAGGGCGGAAGTCTGGATGGCGTCTGATTCAAATTTCTCCATGAAAATATTGGCTATCACTGGTGACAAGGGGGATCCCATGGGGGCACCCTCATTTTGTTTGTAGAAGGAGCCATTCCAAGTAAAGTAGGTATTGTTGAGGCAGTGCCTAACCAGTGCAGGTGTGTCGGGGTCTAGTCCATGTTGGACCAAATTTTCAATTATTTCAATGGTATCAGGTACTGGGACCTTGGTGAACAAAGAGACCACATCGAAGCTGACAAGGATATCGTCAGGGGACAGTACAACGTCTTTGACCATAGAGACCAATTGGGCTGAGTTAAGTACCGCTGAGGCGGTCTTGCCAGTGAAAGGCAGCAAGGTATCTGACAGAAAATGGGCTAGTCTATAGGTAGGGGAGTTGATCGTGGATACGATGGGTCGTAGTGGGGTGCCTTCTTTATGAATCTTGGGAAGACCATAGAATCTAGGGGGTCTTGCAGCAGAAGGTTTTAGGGAGGGACGTTTAGTTGGGTCGATTGGGGAGGTCGAACTTGTGATGATCTTGTTGGTTTTTATCGCTAGGCTATTGGTAGGGTCATTTTTAATTTTTGAGTAACTTCCATCGTTGAGCAGATTCTGGATTTTGTTGTTGTATGAATCTTTATCCATAATTACAGTAGCGTTGCCTTTATCGGCTGAGAGGATGACTATATCACTTCTGTTTTTTTTTTATTCGCGAGTTCAGAGCATTCATTTTTGCTGATGTTACTAATGGGTTTCTTAGCATTCTTAAGAATAGTGGCTATTTCAGCTCTCGCAACGTCTGCTTGGATGTGTCCTACGCCTTTGAGGGCTACATCGACCTGAGAGATGATATCATCTACTGGTATGTGTTTTGGGGTGACAGCAAAATTCAGTCCCCTAGCCAGTACTGTTTTCAGATTGTCCGAAATCGGGGTGCTACTCTGATTAATGACGATTTTGTTAACATCTAGTTTTGTTATATGTGGAACTGGGTTCTTCTTTGATAGGTGGTTGAATTTAGAAATCAGGTTAGCTTTACATTTGACTGACAGTGAATCAGCAGAAGAAGCAGTCATGTTGTCTACGTGATTCCAATCAGAAGGTGACATTTTTTGTGTTAACATTAAATGAGCTTGTAAGAGAGTCCTGTCTAAAGTATCGAGTTCAAATCGGAGTAGCCTTATCCTCTCTGAGATTAAAGATAGGCCGGCCTTAAACAGAATCTGTTTAGAATTCGGAGAAGATACAGCAGCAGAAGTTAGTGTGAAAGCGATGGGTATTACCTTGTGATCGCGGCATCTTTTGAGGAAGGTCAGCGTCTCGATGAGCTGTGACTTCTTGGCCCGTTGTCTGTTAAAAGCTCTAACAGATAGGTGAAAGCCCTCCCCGTAGAGGTTATCAATTCTAGATTTAAAGCTTTCGTGACTGCAAGGATCCATACTCTTTGGTTCTATTCGGTAAAGTCACGTAGGTAAAAAATAAAACAACAAAAATCACGACGTTTCGGCCACAACACAAGCGGCCTTCATCAGGTGAAGGGATCAGGCTGTCTCGAGGACAGCGCTGGAGTGAAGCACAGCCACGCTCAGACCGCGGACCTTTAAGCTGTGTGCGAGCAAACACGGTGCCTTGACAAAGGAATTAGCATAAAAATTAGCATTTGATTGGCCGACTTTAGAAAAGATTTTGTTGTTTTATTTTTTACCTACGTGACTTTACCGAATAGAACCAAATAGTATGTAACGACGTACACGTTCTGTACGGTTGGCTACGTACGGTGCGTTCTCTGGTCTGACACTGGTGAGATTAGGCCATGAAGAAGGCTGTCTCGGGTGCAGGCCAATCAGTTTCAAAGACATTGCATTGATAATTATCAGAGCACGTTTGTTTGCATGCTCACCACAAGTGTGTGTGGTTCATTCAGACACGATTCCTTGCAAAAGGTTTCTATTTGGTGTTTAAACATCTTAACACCTCCTGTTTTATTGTCACAAAGGGTAAAAGTATTCTTATTTTGCATACGATGTGAAAGAAGTTCAACATATGTACAGACGTGGTTAATGCGCCACCACAGTGGGAAAAGTGTAATGTTCCACAGTGAGACTTACACACGGACAAGTGTTGGGGAACATTTTCAGGAACCGAGCAAGGGGAGGAGAGAAAGGAAGCAATTAAAGGGGTCTGCAGGGATGGTAAACATGGAGAGATGCACGCTGAGAATTACACTGAGACAGGAATGGGAACACGCGGATTAGGGGACATGTGCAGGTTACCGACGTCATCAAACCGTTTAGAGAAAGTTCGTGGGCTTGGGCAGGACACGTCGCTAAGAAGGGACGATGAGGCAAGAATAATAACTGAAGTGGGAGCCATCCCATCGCTACATCTACCATCAGTGGATGTCTGAAAGGGCGTCCACTAGTGGGAGATGGAGCGATCAGATTCGTTCAAGTGCAGGTGGTGGCTCGGTGATGCACGGGGGTTCAAAAGCGAGGGTTTGAGGAGAGACTTTAAAACAACCAGATGGAGGGAGGTGGGGGGGGCAGGTGGAGTTTCCTGGCGACGTAGCTCCCAGCTATTTACAGACGTGTCCCCAATATCCAGATTAATGCAAAGCAAATCTGAAATCAGGCCTGGATATATTACATTACGTATGAATGGAAATCGATTTATGTTTTCGGTAACATTGGCTGATGTCACTATTGTTAACACAAAGACATTTTACAGAGACATCGGTACATAATGATTGCACAATCGATGAATATATTGAAGAAATTTTCATTGATACATTATGCCAATGATCAGATAATAAGAAAATATCCTAAATTTCCCTAAAAAATTAGATCATCCAAGAAACCTGCATTTTTTTTTTAAACCCAGACCTCTTCCCCACCACATTCCATATTGCAAAGCAATCCTCTGGGGCAGGAAGTCGAGCAGGAAGTCGAGCAGGAAGTCGAGCAGGAAGGCGAGCATAGCCAGAGCGTGCGCGGTGAAGCTATGTTGCTGTTTGCAGTAATGAGATGATGAGTGCTGCACTCCATGCTGTGTGTGTGAGCAGTCGTGCTGGTGCTGGTGTTCGGGCTGTGCTGGGCTCCGTTCCACGTTGACCGTCTCTTCTACAGCTTCGTCACCAAGTGGACCGAGACCTTGGCGCTCGTGTTCAACACTGTGCACATCATGGCAGGTGCAGCGCGAGCGCGGACGCGGCCCCAACTCGAAACGTGGGCAACAATGCATTGAGACCAAAATGTCTCTTTCTCAAGGGGCCCAAAGCAGATATTATAGTTCGATGAGTCATGTGAATGCAAACATCATGCGATGGACAAGCTACGTAACTGAATATCAGAGTCGCTTGAAATAATTACGTTGATAGACAGCCCCAACAGTCCTGTGTAGGCTGCTACATGGGAGGTGGACATGTCTGTTTATATTTTTTACTTTCACCCCTGACGGTAAAACCACTGCGTCGTTTCTCCCCTGCAGGCGTCCTATTTTACCTGAGCTCCGCCGTCAACCCGATCATCTACAACCTGCTCTCGACGCGCTTCCGCGCCGCCTTCCGCGAGCTGCTCTTCCGCCAGCTCAGCCGGAGCACCTCGCTGGGCTCCAGTCCCGCCAAGCTGTCGCTGGTGAACCGCCACAGCCTGACGGCGCTCAGCGGCCAGACGCTCAATCTGGGCGAGCTCGTCGACTTGGGCTGCCCCGCACCGCTGCTCCCGGCGCAGGCCAACGCCACGGGACCCGCCGCGCGGACGGCCCCACTACCGGTGACCAGGGAGAGCATCCATCACATCTGCCTGTGAAGAGGAACTGCCGGCTGTAAGCCACCGAGAACCTCAGGTGGCCCGGATTGATGGGCCTTTTTGAGGCTGCAGCCCCAGAGTGCCGGATTTTTCGGGGTTCTAACAAAAATATTTGAGTGATTTTCTTAATGGTTGAAATGCAATACTGTGGCACTATGATACATGCCTGGTATGCAGAAGTGCGTGGGTTTGATCCCGACCCTGATGCCTGCTGTATATTTCGAGTTTGCATGTTCTCCCCGTGGTTGCGTGGATTTTATCCGGGTTCTCCGATTTTTTCCCTTCACATTTAGAAACATGTGTTAACAGTATTTCGCTGCTATAAATTTCCACGTGATAAGCCACTTTATTAGGCTATAATTTGTGGTCAGGTGGCTTCTGGCTTCTGCTCAGTGGGCCTTACCTAGTAAAATAAAAAGTTAAAGTTATTTGGGTGACTTGGTAATTGAAGCATCAATGTACATCACTACCAGTCATTTGCTGAAATTCTCGATTTATTCTTTAGAACTTTGACTTATGTTAATAATTCGTATATATCTAATTTTAAAAAGAGAGATGAAATAACCAAGGTGAGTGACATCCGAGTGTTTGCCGTTGGGTACGAATGGTGGCAAAACAGTGGTGGGAAGGAATTGAATAAACAAAACTTAATCCGGCCCTGACAATGCCAATCCACCGGCTGTTGTAATGGCCAGCCAGGATATCGTTACGGGCCTCAGATTGTCGTAACTTGCCATTAACCACGTGCGCCCATGCTTAAGCAGAGAGACACTGGTGTACACACTTCCAAGCAACCATCTACTCCGTCGTTTTGGCTTATACTGGATTCAAATAATCGCAATTCTTCCCTGGTAATGTAATGTATACTCTTTGGTTCTTTCGTTAAAGCCACGTAGGTATAAAATATAATTACATTTTAAAATAAAATGTTATTTTATATTTTATAAAATAACTTTTATTTTATTTTATACTTATTTTATACCTACGTGAATTTACCGAAAGAACCAAAGAGTATGGATTCCTGAAGTCACGAAAGCTTTAAATCAAAATGTAATGTATGTTGAACTGCTTTCGCACCTAGCCAACCGTGCTCATCAGAGGTGCGTGAAAGACAGTGGTGTTTGACTTCCTAAATTACTACCATGGTAAAAGTAAATGGGAATAGTGCAGCCCTGCACTGACATGCCACTACTGGTGGAAAGGCCTCCGATAGAGGGTATTTGACCTACCTCTTGCAGAATTAGAATCAGAATATTTATTTATACCCGAGTAATCCAATGAACTAGAAAGCTCTTTTTCACAGATGTCCAGAAGGGGCGGGTAAGAACGTTACAACAACAACAAATACAAAAATATGATCGTCGTTCAAAGTACAAATCACCAAATCACATACTAAACCATCCCCATCCTACCAGGCAAACCCCACTGAGGTATTAACTTATGTTTCTAAAGCAACCTGATCATAAATGATAGCTCAACAAAGTGGCTTATCATTTGGACATTTATGGCAGGACAATAATCTATGTAATCTCAATACATGTTTCTAAATGTGGAGGGAAAAACCGGAGGACCCAGAGAAAAAAAATCCACGCGACCACGGGGAGAGAGACGCAAACTCCAAGTATACAGCAGCAGGCGTCAGGGTCGAGATCGAACCCCCCCCCCTTACATCACAGCTTTAAATTCGTGAGAGCAACCCAAACTTTACCCCAACACATGTGATCTGCCGATCGAACAACTGCCATGTACCGTCGGAGGCAGGGGAGCTTCAAGAAACCTGCTCCATCGTTTCACCATTGACCCCCCGGCTTGCAAGTCCAGTGTTGCTCACAAGTACACCATAGCAGCAAATTAATGTAATGGTGTAAGGCCATTATCCGTACTATCTATAACATCAATTGCATTTCGAATTCTTGACTGTCGGGTATTGCACACGCTAGTTCGCTGTGCTCACTCTAAATGTAAAAGTGGACACGCAGTCTTTGTCATACAACCCCCTGCGATGCAGCAATTAAACAGACCGGTAGGGCATCACGCGGACGTAAAAGCAACACAAGGCCACCAGCAAAAGAACAATTACATGTACCCAAAAAAACGACGAATTTCTTCATCCGAGATGTATGAAAAATCTTGTTTTAAATTAAATGGGGGGGGGGGGGGGGAGGGTTTACGAAGTTTCAATCCGTCGTTCTCAAATCAGCGCTTAGCCCATCACCGCGAGCGCACGATCGCTCACTCGGTCAGCAGCCGCGGTGGAGCTGGGTGGCAGCCAACTCAACTGCTATTTGTTTTTGGTGTACTGCGTGAATTTGTCAGCTGTTGTACCCTTGGGACGAAAGGCAACGTTGGAATTGTTGACCACTGAAGAACCCAAAATATTGTTGTTGTTGTTGTTGTCCTTTAAGCACAGAATCAGAATATGTATTAATACTGGAGGAATCGGATGAACTATAAAGTTTTTTTGTCACAGATTGTCCAGTCGGGGCGAGTAAGAACGTAACAACAAACAAAACAAAAACACGATAGCAGTGCAGAGTAGAAGAAAGGTAAAAAAAATCATCCAAACACAAATAAAACTAAACCATCCCCATCCTAACTTATTTTTCAGAAGCGACCTGGCCACATTATAGCTCAACACAGTGGCTTATCGTTTGGACATTTACAGCAGCAAATGAATCTCAATAATCTCAATGCATTTCGATTTAAAGCTTTCGTGACTGCAATGATTCATCTTCTTTGGTTCTTTCGGTAAAGTCACGTAGAAACGTCGTGAGAATATTGTTGTGTTATTTTATTTTATCAATTTATTATTTTATTCTCATTCTACGTGACTTTACCGAAAGAACCAAAGAAGATGAATCTCAATGCATGTTTATACATGTTAAGGGAAAACCCGGAGGATCCAGAGAAATAAATCCACGCAACCACGGGGAGAGCGACATGCAAACATTGTCGCTGGAGATGGGGTGACGAACGGACACTTGGCTACGGCACCGAAATCAGGGGGCAACGTGACGGATGTGCTAGAGGAACCCACTGGCCCAATTCGCTGTGTTGTTTTGTTCATCACAGCTGCATTGTCTCTAGTAAAATAAACAAGGGGCAGCACTGACCATCGGTGGCTCTGAACTAATGGTGGACAATCTACATTACTATATCAGGGACTCATCAACGAACCCTTGTTTGTGCACTCTGGAGCAATGGCTCTCTAGAGTGTGGTTCCCCGGTACCCCCCGAGTCGGTGGCCCGGGACGCTCCTCTAGGTGATCCGCGGGGGCTGTGATGTAAACGCAGGTTGATCCGGGCAATAATGACGTTCATTATACCTTTTGTTTCTGACATGAATTAATATTTTACTTATATTTGATTTTTATAAAAAAAAAAGTTCGGTAAACTACCCTGATATCTAAATGCCCTCCCTCCCCCTTAAAAAAAAACAACCTTATAGCTGCGTTTAAAAAAGCATGTTTTTAAGTCGCGGTAATATTAATCATTTTGTATTACAGGGACTCGCACTTACGAACGAGTTAGGTTCCAGAGGTCTGTTCGTATGTCGATTCGTTCTTGTGTCCAATTCTACTCCTGCCGATTCCAAACATGTTGTACGACATGTACACTAATCACGAGGGAATGGCTTTAAAAGTTGTATCATGTCCTGTAGATGTCACTGGTTCTTCACGTTCTGCATATGTAGATGCCACCACCACCATCTATTGCGCGGTGGTTGAACTTACGACTCTCGGTCCGAACAGGCAACTCTGCATACGTATCTCTAAAAGTTCGTAAGTCGAATGCTCGTAAGTGGAGGAGTCCATTTAGAGAGAGATACGATTGCGTTTTGTCACCAGGGGTGGGGGCGCTGTGCGGTCCACGGAAATATTTGCATCGGCTGGATGGTCCTCGGGCGAAACAAGTTTGAGAAATTCCGCTGTGGTGGGATGACCGAGTTGACCCGTGAGTGATATTTGAACATGGCTTCCCGGTGGCTTTTCCGGTGGCTTCCCGATGAACTTGGCTTTCCGGCGGGGAGGTGGGGCACCTCTGCTTTCGTGCCACCCAGGCTGGGCTGCGCAGGTGCCGGCAAACGAATGGACGCACCACAGTTCAGATGGGGTTGCACGATATCTGGCATCACGAACCCCTGAAGCTTTGTCCCCGTTGTGCAACGGGAACGAAATAAGTGGTGGCTGGCTGCGCATTAGTTTTTAATCCATTTCCACCAACAGCCACGGCGACTGTACGCGCCGGGCAGCGAGTTCACTTGGTTATTGCTTCACAAATGAAAGCGTTCGAATATTTGCATCCAAGACTCAGCCATATGGGATATCACGTGTTGCGTTTGTAGCTATACTGTAATCAGATTGGTCAGAGTAATTGAATGTGATGATATTCACATTCATGGCATCCAATCCGATTCAACTTGCATCGCTTTTGTAAATTATTTGTCGTTATTGATTGCTGTTTTGTAATTGTGCCTATTGTGAGTAAAGTTTGAGGCGTGTGTATTTTATGTGTAGTACGTACTTTCCCAATGTGGGGAAGAGCGATGGTGCAGCGGCTCACGCACGGGCCACTGATCTCAACCGCTCGAGTTCGACTCCCGGCTATGGCTATTACTATGAGTAGCGAGGGATATCAGTACCGGCCTTGGACCCTTCACACAGACCAGTCTAACTAACCTAAACATTTTTTTTTATATTTTACCAGGTAAGGCCTACTGAGCTCTACAGTATCTTTTTTTCAGAAGCGACCTGGCCACAAATGATAGCTCAATGAAAGTGGCTTATCACGTGGGAATATATAGCAGCCAACTACTTTAAATGCGCGTTGATTCTAAATGTGGAGGGGGAAACCCAGAGGACCCGGAGAAAAAAACTACGTGACCACGGGGAGAACACAGTCACCTCCTGAGCCATCTGCTTCGTCATGTTGTATCAAATTTGCTCATCACATGCCAATAAAAATATACATTATACTTATTGTTATCCTCAGAGGTGGGTCATGTCCAAATTAAGCGCTCTTTCTGTACTGTTGTCAATTATTTAGCCAAGAAAGCCCAAGTCTCAACATTGTGTTTCATGGTGGGATAGGCATTGGGGATGTTTGGACAATTTAAGGCCAAGAGTGTTTGGAATATTTGAGAAGACGCAATGTTTTATTGGTGGACCTTAATCAACTGCTGCACGAACGATTGGCACCTCACAGCCTTTGCAACCTGATGCCTTCAACACCAAAAAGACAGAAACAAAATCCCCCATATAGCCTTAACAGACTATTGTGGAA